TTTGTGCCTTTACAAGACAAAGGCATGTCCCAGCACCTCATGTTTATTGGAAAGAATGGCCCAGACTTCTGGCCTCAAGTTCCCTGCTGTCCCCTAAAAACATGTGCATCATGTACATCACTGATCACAGGGTTTTCTGGTGATGACCAAGTGAGACAGACAATCAACCCTTGGAGGAAAGGGCTGCAGCATAGCCAAAAAGCAGGGACAAAGCAGCGGGTGGCAGACTTGCTTTATCAGCCTCCAGTTGTCTCTGGCTGGCGTTTCTGTGAAAAGAGAACATTACTGACTACTGGGAATCCAGAGACATAAAATTACTGTTCTGGGCCCTTTGACAGGCTGTGTCTGAAATTCGTGTCCTAAATGCAGTCGTGTGGGTGATAAAGAGCCTGGAGGTCAGAACTGTGTGAGCAAACAACGCTATGAGAAATACTAGAAGTAATTGAAATTCCCCAAGAAGATTCTCCTTTTGAATCATAAGATGCAGGCTGATAAAAATATAAGGGAGGAGTGGGCGGCAGTGCAGGAAGAAGCCGTACTGAGCCTACCCAGTGATTTACAGTCCCCAGGGAAAAAGAGACTTGCTGGTATTTGGTCTGGGTTTCAAACTAAAAACTTGAAGGCAGTCTGAGTTTAAAGCCACTTGCCCCCTGTACTGAAAACACAAGATCACAAAACTTTGCTGGTTTCACGGTTACTTCCCTCCCTCAGATGATGAAACACATTCACATAGTTTTCTAAACAGTCTACAGAGAGATAAACTCTATCACCATCCCAGTCACTAACCCGGAACTCATAAAAGGTCCCATCCTGGTTGGTAAGTACATGACTTCATCTTCCTTATCAACAGGCGACCACTAACTCCATGGCGCTGCTTCCACTGAGACTGCCAAAGACTAAGTTAAAATCCTGTTCAAGTCTGCCTTTTTACAGAGATTAACAGAGAGTTTGGAGAGGGGACGGAGAAGAGTCAGAGATCATGTAGGGGAGCAACCCAGTAGCTCTCCAGGTACATCTTACACCCCAGAACCATGGATACCACCACCCCAAGGGGCAGCTTTAATCCTCTGGACAAACCTTTCTCTCCTAGGTTGAGCTTGACCCTGCAAGCCAGCAATCAGGAGGGTGTACCCCCTTTTCCTGCCCCCAACACCACTGACCTGGAGAGGTCCTAGAGCCACAGTGGTCAGAGTTGACTTCCCATAAAGATGATCATCGGTGGCCATGCCTGAAGCTCCCAGGGATTTGAGCTATGAGAGTTTACTCATTTTCAAACAGCGCCCTCGTGAGATAAGAAGCTTGGGTTCGGAGAGTCACTGTTAACTTGTAAACAGCAGGAGGCCATATGGATCCACAGTGTGCTGACATGGCCACAGCACGGGCTCCTGAATTCTCTCTAGGTGGAAGCCTGGGTTTTAATCTATTGATTGCTGTCTACTAGTATAGACTGCCTACTAGGTGTCATCTATTGTACTGGGCTCAAAGCAGTGCAACAGAAAGCACTTACTCCAAATGGGGAACCAGCAGGCGACGGCTTGTCCCTCTAAGGTACGTGCTATGAGTCAACAGGCTGTTTGCATGACCCATGACAAGTACCTGCTGAAGATGTAATAAAAAGGTTCAGCCACAGCCGTACTCAAACTGATTGAGAGATGAGCCTGGGCCATGGTCTCTGGACCACTGCGTGTATCTGTCCCTAGTTTACCTCGCTGTAGGTCACTGCAGCTCCAGACTCTGATAAAGAGCTTTTATCAAGAAACTGGGTTTGCTTGTCAAGAATTGCTTTAGTGTCCTCAATGAAGTGTGTGGATATTGCTCCTCTAGAAGTAATAGTTATGAAATGAAAACCTAAATGCCTGGTACAAGTTGTTGACCAAGGTTGGCTGGCTGGTGGTGGGACATGCCTTTAATCTCAGGACTTGGGAGGCAGTGGCAAGTGGATCTCTGTGAGTTTGAGGTCTGCCTGGTCTACAGAGTGAGTTCCAGGACAGACAGGCTACACAGTAAAACCTAGCCTTAAAACAGAACAAAGCAAAACAAAACAAACAGACACAAACAAACAAACAAACAAACAAAACCTGCCAAATAAGGATGGGTAATGGCTCATGAAGTGACTATTCCTCACTAGTGAACTCATGGCAATTGATGGTTGCTATGGAGGTCATTTTCTTCAGTGCTGTATCCACCGATGAGATGACATTATTGCAGCAAATAGCTTTCCACCTATTTAACCCTAATTAAATTCAATGAACTACTCATATGAAACACACACACACAGATAGAGAGAGACTGGCAGGTGATGGCATAAGATAATAATGATTAAAATGACCAGAATTTATTATATGTATGTATTATCAAGGAATAAACATAAAAGAATAAAACAATTTAAAAAAGAATTATTTCATACCAAACAGGTCTAGTGTGGTGTTTAAACAAACAACCCAATGAGCCCACAGGAGAGGAGCAATCTCCTTCTTGGGGACACCAGATTTTCCCCTAAATGAGATGAGTAGGCTCAGCGAGACACCTCCAGCTCCTGGAACTCAGTGTCAACTTGTTATTATTCAGAAGTCCACCTGGAGCTTGGCTGGATGCTAAGGACTGGATTCCTTTATCTCCATCCCCTCCTACTGATGCATGATCGCCCTCCCACAGTCTCTGCTGGAAAATGTCACCCACCTGCAGCCCTCACAGGGAGATTCCAGCCACCAGGAAAGGCGGAGGTTGCTGGGGCTGCACACAGAGTTCTCTTGGCCACCCACTACTGGGGACACACACAGAGCAGAGAGAAACTCAGCAATCCACAGACAGCCTGGGACGGGGGCGGGGGGGGCTAACAAGCATACTCTGAACGCCATCATTGGCTTGTGATCATGGAGACACTCAAGAAATAGAAGCAGGATCCAGGCAACAAATACAAAAGGCTTGATCTCAGGAAGGACCCCCTTGATCTCACTAAGTGAAAATAGACCCAGGTTTTGGAACCTAAGTGTAATAATTTTTCCATGCCTGTGGAGCAAGTGCTGGAGGTGAGGCCAGGCACCTGGATATAGTTGCTGGCTCTGATCTGGGTTCCTTACACTGTCAGATGGAAACAAAAATAATCACACCCATCCCACTGAGCTGTTGGGGTAAAAACAGGACTTCTCTGTGTGTGCACTGCCAGTGTTGGGGGATCAATCTCTGGTGTAGAATATACCCTGCACTACAAGAAGCTGAGCCATACTGTTGGCCTCTACCATTAGACACCAGTAGCTCCCTCCTCCAAGCTGTGATGACAAACAGGTCTCAGTTGCCAAGTGTCCTCAGAAAGGTGGGTGAAACTAAATGGTCCCCAGTAAAGAACCACATAATTAAGGGGACTGAGGTTTCTAAAGACACATAGGTACATCAATAAAGCCTTGGGATCGGAGGAAGAAAACGTTTTGCCCTAAAGACTGGCCACCACCCAAGCATTCTCTCTGAGTTCCATGCCTATCCTTGTGGGATTGACATGGACATCGTTTGGACTGAATGTTTGCTTATGCCTCCTGTTCATGTACTGAAATTTCAAGCTCCAGTGTGTCAAGAGTAGGAGATGAGGTATCTGGGAGGTGACTTGGTCATCACCATCACGCCTTTCTGAGAAGACCCTAGAGAAGAGTGAAGAGTGCTTTCTTCTTCTTCTTCTTCTTCTTCTTCTTCTTCTTCTTCTTCTTCTTCTTCTTCTTCTTCTTCTTCTTCTTCTTCTTCTTCTTCTTCTCCTTCTCCTTCTCCTTCTCCTTCTCCTTCTCCTTCTTATTCTTCTCCTTCTTCTTCTCCTTCTTCTTCTCCTTCTTCTCCTTCTTCTTCTCCTCCTCCTTCTTCTTCCTCTTCTTTTTTCTCTCTCTCTGTCTCTGTCTCTCCTTCTCTTTCTTTCCCTCTCCACCCCACAAAGACACCATCCTCAAGCTGGGAAAAGGCTCTCACAAGTAGACACCCTGATCTTGGTTTCTCATCCTCCAGAACTGTGAGAAAGAGATTGAAGTTGATTACGGCCCCCAGTGTACTATATTTGTTTCAGTAGCCTGAAAGGCTTGGTGACTGCTGCATCCAAATCATTGAATTGACCTCAAAAGGGTCTAAAGCTCAGAAAGACAGCCAACCTTAACCCTTCTTATGGTGGTTATTTTTATAGTTTTTAAAAATTTTTTAATTGACACACAACTATGTGTTTGAAGTGCAAGAGTTATATTTAAGCCTACAGAAAAATGATGAGAGTGTTTCGAAGCTAAGAGTTGCTTCATCTGAACCTCAGCACACATGAATTCACAGCTGCCAAGTGCAGCTGTCAGTGCACAGAGAAACGTTTGCAAGTTCCTGAGATGTGAAAGGCAGTGGCCAAGATGGACTCCGTGCTTTACAAAATACTTAAGAGTTCAGTTGTCAGCAGAACACTTCTGGTGGCTTTGAGCTGGTCTCTGGCTCTGTCTTCTTCGGCACAGCACAATTGGTGCATAGAAGGTGAGGAGTCAGTGAGCTAAGGAAGGCATTTTGAGCACACAGACCAGTCCCTGGCAAATATGGAGCAAGCAACTTATAGCTATTGCCTTGGCTTGGATATTAGGTTTCAATAGGGTGGTATGCATGAAAAGGTATTATGGTCGCTTGTCTAGAAAGATGACTTGAAACCAAGTTAAACAGTTTTTCTTTCACCGACTTCTCAGAGCCTTTAAAACACTGATATGCAATAAACCTTGGAGGGGTGACCTAGAGTGACAGAAAGACCCCAGGCCTTTCTTCGAAGGATGATTCATGACCCTAGAGTTGTATAACACACAGGGGGAAGTGCACTGTGCAGACATGTAGCTTCACACATAGTCTAAGTTAATTGCAAACCTTTCTAAGAACGTGAAGAACATTCACTATAAGAGATATGCAGCATTGGCTAACAATACATGCTAAGGACCTGAGGCTATGTAAATACTCAGAATGGTGTGAAATCCAGGCACACTGTCAGTGTTGACTTCTGTGTCACTCACCCGAGATCCCTTTTCAGGAAAACACTGACAGACAGAGCAGTTTCTTCCTCCACAAGGGCTGCCATACTTCTTGCCACTCTGGAAAGGGAAGCCATTCGGTCAGTATTTCAGTCCTCAGGGCTCAGCTCAGGTCATAGAGAATATGATAGAGCAAGCCCAACATGTGCACATCCCACGGGACACTTTTCACCTTTAGATCCAGGAAAAGCAAATATTAATGTATTTATTCTGAGACAGGTTGTTCCACTCAAACTTTTGATCCTCTGCCTCGGTTTCTCAAGAACATCAGCACGCCTGGCTGCAATGAGATGTGCTGACACTTAAAAAGAAATAGCACCCGCCCCATGGTACAGTCCATGGGTCGGACCCCCTACCCTGGAGACACTGGAGGAAAAGGAACTTTATTCATAAGCCACCGGAGCCAGAATCATATAAAGGCTTTCTCCTCTATGAAGAGTTCAGTACTAAGTCATGCACAGTCTAGGGCTGTAAATGTGCGGTTAGCAAGCTGTGTGCAGATACAGAGTCTAAGTTTCAACGATAGCACTGCCTTTCTCTCCACAGCTCTTCTTGTGTCTCCCAGATCCGCCAGGGTACGTGATCCTCACCAAAGAATTTCTTCTTTGGATAACTCTCCAGATAAGTCTTACAGTTTGGTTTTACGTTTTCCTTCCAGCAATCCCCCAGTTCTCCAAGGTGGCTCCTCTATTGTGTCCCTTAGTCAGAAGCTCCTGAACCTGAGTCATCTGGGCCTCTTCCTGCCTTAACAGACTTTTCTGTAACTCTCTCTAGAAAGTCAATGTGCACGTGTGTGCACGCGCACGCACACACACACACACACACACACACACACACACAACTTCACACACTTCCTGCCCTTAATGAGACACACACCTTGTCACCCATTGCACATCCACATTATCTATGCCCAGAGCCCTCAGCCACTTCACTACTAAGTGTATTCAAAGAATTGCTGTTTCCATATGCACATTCTTTATAGAAAACAGCAAGCTTCAGGCACCTGCTTTCATGCACTATGGCTTTGGTTCAGGTGGGAAAGGGGAGTCAGCTGCTATTAGCAGAAATAGGACTATCAAGAAAGCAGCAGAGATGAATTTTGTCTATGCTTATCTGTCCAGTCGACACATCTTTTAAGCTTAAGGCAATGAACACACACTAATGTGGAATGGAAGAAATAGAGAACAGCTAACCTATAACCACAGCCACCAGTAGACAGAGGTGAGAGGCTCAGGGCCAGTTCAAGGCCAGCCTACTTTACATGACTCTCTCTCTCTCTCTCTCTCTCTCTCTCTCTCTCTCTCTCTCTCTCTCTCTCTCACACACACACACACACACACACACACACACACACACAAGAAAGCCACTAAGCTAATAGCTACAGTGCTGGTGACCAGTAAGTAGGTGTAATGCATGCATGTTAATATGCATATTACATATAAATATGCACACAAGCACACACAAATACATGCATAAGTTCATAAATATGGGTGAGGGTGATAAAAGACAAAGGGTCTACTCAAAAGGTTTCTGTTTTTTAATCACTCAATCTCAACTTCCTTTAGGGGGCACTGTAGGTTTGAGTAAAATGGGCTCGTGGGGAGTGGCATTATAGTAAAGGATTAGGACATGTGGCCTTGTTGAAGTAGATGTGATCTTTGTGGAGGAAGTGTGCCACTGCGGGGTAGGCTTTGAGGTTTCAAATGCTTCAAGGCATGACCAGTGCCTCTCCTTTCCTGCTGCCTGCCAAGCTAGATATGGAATGCTCACCTACCTGTCTAGCATGTTGTCTGCCTCCACGCTGCTACGCTTCTTACCATGATGATAACAGACTGAATCTCTGAACTGTAAGCCAGTCCCAATTGAATGTTTTCCTTTAAAAGAGTTGCTGTGGTCATGGTGTCTTGTCATACCAACAGAAACCCTAACTCTAGGGCAGAAAGGAGCAAATTCAAAGAGAAAATATCTTTAAGCATTAAACATAAAAGACATATTTATGAACAAAGGTCTTATGGGTCATTAAAAGCATTGAAGAATTCGAGGGATTGAGGGGCTAAGAGACAGGCCAATCTGTATAGTGCCCGCCATGTGGACATGAAGCCTTGGGATCAGATTTCTATCATCCATGTTACAAGGTTGGCACAGCAGTTCAGGCTTGTGATCCCCGTGTTTATGGAGTGGAGACAGGGAGAATCCCAGGGGCCTGCTGGACAGGTAGTATGTCTAAACTGGTGGGCTCTCGATTAATGAGAAAGTCTGTCTCAATGAATGGTGGAGTGCAATAGAAATGAATATACACTTCATGTTGACCTTTGGCCTCCCCATGCATGTGTGTGAGCACATATATTGTGTAAACCACACATGAATGAATTTGAAATTTCAGGAGTCTATCGTTCTTGAGTTTTAATTACCATTGTTATCTGTAAAAGCACAAGTTCAAAATTCTAAAAGGTTAGGGATGAAATGCCCAGGTTTGGCTGGAACAGCACGTAAGCACAGTAGCTAGTCTGAATGCTCGGATTGAATTAAGGTCAGAATTCATTGCTGTGTTCAGTGAAATACCAAAATAACAATGAAAAATGGAGTTAGTAGATTAGATGCCTCAATAGCCAAGGCAGGGTCTTTATTTGATATTTGCTTGTTTTGGCTAAGGATCACTGAGATTATGTGAGGCAGGATTCTATTTCAGAAGTCATTTTAAAATGGATTAGCAGATTCTAAGAAAGAGCCACCCGCTGACACGTTAAATGGTGTGGAAACCTGCAAAGGAAGAGTCTGTGCTCCACAAAGATGCTGTATTGGATGAGGAGATACTGACGGTGACATTCAGATCCCATGGGGAAAAAGTCATATATGGGTTTGTGATTCCAGCCCTGGTGAGGCAGAGACTAGCAGCTCTCCAGGGCTCGCTAAATAGTCATATCAGCCGACTTGGCAAGTTCCGGGACAATGAGAGACCCTGTCTCCAAACGAAAAGAAATGGAGGTGGGTGATGCCTACAGAGCAGCACCTGAGTTTGTCCACTAGCCTTCATACTCAGCAAACACATCCGTGCTAACTTGTATTGAGAGAGAGAGAAAGAGAGGGGGGGGGGGTCAGGCAAAGCCATTGAAGAAGGCAAGGACAATACCACAGGCAACTAAACATTCTTAGCCTGAACCACAATGACTTGGTTTTGTGTGTCAATTTGACATAAACTAGAGTCATCAGGGGAAGGAGGCTCAGTTGAGGAAACACCTTAATGAGATCCAGCTGTAAGGCGTTTCCTCAATTAGTAATCAATGCAGGAGGGCTTAGCCCACGGCAGGTGGTTCCATCCCTAGACTGTTGGTCCTAGGTTCTATAAGAAGGTGGGTTGAGCAAGTCATGGAAAGCCAGCCAGTAAGCAGCTCCTCCATGGCCGCTGCACCAGCTCCTGCCTCAGGGATCCTGCCCTGTTTGAGTTCCTGTCCTGCTTCCTCCAGGGGTGAACAGCAATGCCGATGTGTAAGCTAAATACACCCTTTCCTCCCCAACTTGCTTTTTGGTCATGGTGTTTCTTCTCAGCAATAGAAACCCTAGTGAAGACAATGCCCATACTCAAAACCTAACTGGGAACACACCCACACTCTTAAGCTCACTGGGAACAAATATATACTCAAATACTCACTGGGAACACAGCTACACTCACACACACCCTGGGAACACACTCACACTCATAAGCTCACTGGGAATACACCTACACTCACACACACTGGGAACACATCTACACTCACACACTCACTGGAAATAATACACCTATACTCACACACTCACTGGGAACACACCTACACTCATACACTCGCTGGGAACCCATGTACACTTATACTCTGGGAACACACCTCTGCTCACACACTCACTGAGAATACACCTACACTCACACTGGGAACACACCTACACTCAAGCCAACTTACTTTTCTCCAAAAGAAAAAAACAGGAGAAGCCACTCTTCTCTACCTCAGATGTCGTAAAACATGTGCTGATTGTATAGAGAGTAAAGTATTAACTTCGCAAAGATTAACTGTCCCATATTTGAGCTCATTTCCTTTTTTATAAGAAAATAATACAGATACAAAACAAAAACATCAAACTGTGTAAAAACATATTAGAGGCATTTTCTCTCTCTGCCCTGCCTTCAAGTTCCCTACCCTCAGAGGATCCCTCTCTTTCCATTGGTGTCTAGGCACTGATAAGTATATTCAACCACATGCGCCCACACTGCTGGTGATTTGGGTTGTTTCATTGATACTCAAGTGGCACGCTGCCTAGTGCCTGAGCGTTTTCACGTAATCCCTGTTTTCACAGTTCGTTCTGACTTGCTCCTCGCCGCGGTCCCGCACACACAGTATCAGCACGTGTGTATCCACTCCCTGCTGGTGAATGCCTAGGTTATGAGGTTATTATGCCCCTCTTCAGGTGCTGAACAACAGCCTGCAGTGAGGATTCTGGCACACTCATCTTTGCACATGCCAGACGTGTGTACATTCTTACACCAAAGGAACGTACATTCGAAATCTTGGTAGATGACGCAAACTGTCTTCCACAGGTACTGTGTCAGTTCACACCCTCCCCTTAAGTCCCAGTTATCATCTTGCTGCTCCCTGTGTGAAGACTCTAAAATCTCCCTGCACCACGAGCGGATGGAAGTGTCCAGGGTTGAGTTATCTTTGGTTGAGGAATCACGTTCACTCACATGGCTAGAAGGAACAAGGGGGGTGAATTTTAGGAGGCTGCAGACTTTTGTAACAGAAAAAAAATGCGTGCAACACAAAAATAAGCTTGGAAAAATCAAATAAGATTAACAACAACAACTACAACAAAAAACTGCCCCCAAGCAAGCATCACACTGGGGATATCTCAAATGCATATGAACTCAATGGGACAAATCTCATTGTTGCTGTAACACAAGCAGAAGACTGAGTCTTAGCTGGGTTAAAGAATAAGGAATAAGAGAGAACCAAGAATCAAAAGCTTTTCATTCCTTGAGTCAGAGTAGAGATTTTTTTTTCTATTTCAGTTACTTTGCAAAGGTCTCTGATTATCAAGGGACTTGATCTCACTCCTGTGACCTTTATCCCCAAGAGCCGGCATCCCTGAGAGGTTGGGTTCACAATTTAGTTTCTTCCTTGAGGGAGCAGCAGCAGAAGGGCTGGCTACAGACTGGGCTTTCTCTACAACTAAAAAGTGTCCAGACTGAAGACTGAATCTTATATTTCTTGGTATAATCTTGAAATGGCCCAACTACTTCTTCTCTGTTCCAAATAAAAAGAATTCAAGGAAGGGCTGTGGTTATTACAAGATAAAACCTCTCCAACACCCAGGCAATTCTATAAACAATTTTGATTGAAAAAAATATCCAAGTGGCCTCAGGCTGTGTCTTATGTCAATATCCATTTCACAGATATGAAAGCTGAGGCCCAGAGAGTGACTAGTTTAAACATATTCTGAAAACATATAAATCATATACCCATGCAATGAATCATGTATTCTACAAAGTAAATTTTCCATGTACAGAATGAATTCATATACTTACCCCATATTCATATCGTACGGTAAGGAGAATAAAAATTAGTGACCTACGAAAAAACAAAGATAGAGACTGAGTGTTTGCTTTAATAGGAAACAACCTAAGCAGAGTAACAGTACTAAACTCAGAAGGCTGGTTCTCACTCCTAACTGCTACCATCAGACACAGTTATCAATGCCACCGTCTCTTTAGAAGGCTGGTTCTCACTCCTAACTGCTACCATCAGACACAGTCATCAATGTCACCGTCTCTCTAGAAGGCTGGTTCTCACTCCTAACTGCTACAATCAGATACAGTTATCAATGCCACCATCTCTTTAGAAGGCTGGTTCTCACTCCTAACTGCTACCATCAGACACAGTCATCAATGTCACCGTCTCTTCAGAAGACTGGTTCTCACTTCTAACTTCTACCGTCTGACACAGTCTATCAACCATCTCTCTGGCTGGCATCATTGCCTCTCCTCTTTTTATCAGTCAAGGAAGATTACTAAAGGCCTTTGGCGAAGATATATTGAAGGCCATGGTGCTGGAGTCCACAGGGGCACCCAGGGTGAGACTGAGGCCTGAATGAACAGATGAGTGAGGAGGAGGTTCAGATGACTCCCCAGAAAGCTGGAAGAAAGTTAGAGGAGACAACTGTGGTCGGGAACACACTCGAGACCAGTGTATTTGAGTTGTCACTTAAGGGGACCCATTCAAGAAGAAGGGGAGGTAGATGGAAAGCTGCCTGAATGAGAAGAGCTTGGGCTGAGTGGGAATGATGTGGACTTATTAGGGAAGTGTGAGGTGGTCCACAGATAGAAATCCACCTAGGGCCTTTCTGCTACAGTGAACACATTTTACCAAAAGCAAGGATGTGATCAAGAAAGGCCAAGCAAGCATTTGCTGGGCGATCCATCTCTACGTCAAAGCCTTCAGTGGACACTGTCTCATTTGGTCCTTGAGCATCTGTGGTGAGTTGGTGCTCCCGGCCATTCTGTACATACCCCTCTCCCCATGTCTTTCTGTGGTGGCAGGAGCACTGGAGCCAGGCCACGGACTTGTTTTTTTTTTTTTTTTGTAGCCTTTCCCATCTTGGAATCATGAGCTAAGTGAACCTTCTTTTTCCACATTCTAGCCCATTTTCTTGGAGTAACAGAGAGAATACAGACCATAACAAAGGGTTGTGTCTGGGTGTGACCCTGATTAATAGACCAGAAGCTGGAGGGTCTCATGTTGAAATCAAGGTATTTGGGGGCCTGTTTTCATGAACACAGAGAGCCTGGTTCTCACCTTTCCCAGATTTTAGAAGTGCCCGTGTTCTTTGACTCATGGTCCCTTCCATCTCCAAAGCTGGTGCTCTCTGGCCTCTGCTTCTTCTGAGACACCTTATGCACTGATGCTGGACTCCCTCCTCCTTCCACATCTAAAAGTCCCTTGTGATGACATGGGATCCACCCAGACCATCTAAGACCCCCCCACTCCTATTCAAGGTCACCTGAATTCTATTTGCAACCATGAGTTCCTCTCCTCGTGTAAATAACATATTAACAAAAACTGGAGTGTAGACATCCTTGAGGCCATTAGCCTGCCCACTGCATTCGGGAAAATGTTTTGTCCTCATCTACTAGTTTCAGGGACCCTGAAGTTCTGGACATTCATAGCTTTGCTATTCAAATCTAGTAAGTAAGATAGCAGGAACCCAGGGATTTTAATCGCAAGCACAGATTTGGATTCAATCATGATGTGGGTGCATTTTGGGAAAGATGTTGGTATTTAAAAGTCAGAATGGGTCCCAAATGGCAGCAGAACGTATTCCATAAAGACGTACACACACCAAGGATACTCACCAGGGGGCTGTGACTGAGGGCTTGGTCCATCTGAAAAAGCACCTCATGAAGACCTTGCGCACAGATACCCTCACTGGTGAACTCTGCGTCCAAAATCCTCCTCCAGTCTTCTCCTGCCTTCCAGAAGACTCTTGTGGACAGTTGGGAGTCTGTGTCCTGTGTTAGAATCTGCATGTGTGAAATACAAATACGTCTCTCATCACAACGGTGTGCAATACTGTTGAGAATAATGACTTCCATTATTCTGTCCATGAGGAAAACATTTTCTAAACAGCCACAATGACTGTTGACATAGTCATCTTTTCTTAGTGCTTGTCATACTGAATAAATATCCTTAGAGACTAAAATATCCTACTAGGGGCAAGAGGGTAAGGTGGGGGGCAGGGACATAGAATGGAGGAAGAGAGTGGGGTGAGGGATGAGGAACTCATGAAAATGTATGAAGGAACCCAGGACTTTGTAAGCTCTCTGTAAAAAGGTTTTTCCTTTATTCTTGCTTTATGCGTACAGGGTGTTTTGCTGCATAGGTTTGTGTACCAAGTGCATGCAGCGTCCAAGGAGACCAGAAGGGGGCGTCTGATCCCCTGGAGCTGGAGTTAGAAATAGCCACCACCATGTATGTGGGTTTTGGGAAGTGAACTCAGGTTCTCTGAAAGAGCAGCTAGAGCTCTTAGCCACTGAGTGATTTCTCTAGGTCCTCACAAACTAACTTTAAAAGATAAAAAGATATAAAATAGGAATTGAACTATTCTCAAATCCTTTATATTTAGCAAATATAGCTTTGAAAAATGAAGAATTATGAGAACTAAAAGCACTTTTTTCACTATAGACTTGCATATGAATACTCATAACAGCAAAACCAGGAAAAATACAGTAATGGAAAAGCAAAATATTATACCATGTAATGAAATATTATTTAGCCTTAATAAGGAATTATACATGGATATGTGCTGCTATGTGGATTAACCGTGAAATCTTTGTATCAAAAGCACATAGACAATGGGCGAATCCAGAGATAGAAAATAGAATAGTAAGCGTCAGGGGGAGGGGCAGATGGAAAATTGGGGAGCACGGGGTTACTTTGGGGATGGTAGCTATGTTCTGAAATTAGAGCTTGGTCCTGGTGTCCATTGTACCTGTATCTGGGACTACTCAGTTACACACCTGAGAAGAGTTAAAATACTAAGCTTCGTTTTTTTTTTTTTTAAATTTTAACTGTAAACAGGAGAAAATATATTTTTAAACTTGACCTGAAGGACTCTTTCCTTTGATCTGAGGTCTCTTTGAAGAATGAAGGCGTCTCATTTTTAAAAGTTTGGCTCCTCTGAGGCCCTGTCCTCACTGGAACTGGTAAGGAGAAGGGAACCGGGCACGTCCGATATTACAAGCTGTCTATCAGTTTCTGGATGAAAGCTGGGCAAATGAGTTCACCACGGTGTCGACTGAAGACTAGTTTCCTGGTGAGTGCTGGAGCCGCGTTCCGTGACAGTTTCCAATTTGAGTAGAAATACGGTTAGGGAGAACACATGCATCGTTTCCATCCCCAAGCTGATTATTGTAAATAGCTTTTGATTTAAAGTTACATTCTGGAAATGAGTCTCAAGAAAATGGATTATTATTTTGGAATGAAAATACACGTTGCTTTAAATCACTTTAATTATACTCAATATTGTAAACAAATGGAGAATTGTCCAAAACGATGGAAAATCAGAGATATTTATATTTTAATTAAAAATAATTGGTGCAGAGGCTGGAGAGATGGCTCAGTGGTAAAGATCACTCTTTCAGAGGACCTGAGTTCAATTCCCAGCAACCACATGGTGGCTCACTACCATCTGTAATGGGATCTGATACCCTCTTCTGGCATTCAGGGATACATGCAAATAGAGTACTCATACCTTAAAAATGCATAAATAAATAACTTTAAAAAGTAATTGGTGCAGTTAATCTCCACAGTCAGCTAGGCACACTGGGAAGACGCTTTCACAGGGGAACACCTATTAAATGAAGGAGGATATCTGCTGACTGATGGAGGTGGGTCTTGTATCTTATCTGTTGCTTTCATTGGTTAATAATAAAGAATCTGCCTCGGCCCTCATAGGACAGAAAATTAGGTAGGTGGAGTAGACAGAGGAGAATGCTGGGAAAAAGAAGCTGAGGGTGAGTCGCCATGATTCTCCCGCTCCAGACAGACGCAGGTTAAGATCCTCTCTGGTAAGCCAGCTCATGGGCTACACAGATTATTAGAAATGGGTTAGAACAATATGTAAGAGCTAGCCAATAAGAAGCTGGAACCAGCTGGGCCAGGCAGTGTTTAATAGAATTCAGTTTCCGTGTAATTATTTCGGGCATAAGCTAGCCATGCGGGCGGCCGGGTGCCGGGGACGCAGCCCCGCCACTCCTAATGCAACAGCTGACTACTGTCCTAACATCGGGAGTTTCTCAGCACACTGGGATGGATGATTTCTGCAAACATCAAAATAAAACCGCTCGAGCATTATTTTAGAAACATCCAGTATGTTATAACACCACCACAGTTCAATTTTCACCACCAATGCGTAAAAGTTTTGCACATATATTCTTTAATGGAAATTTATAATGCTCAGTTTTTATCATGAAATTGTATATACATATCATTCATTCCATATCTACTCTACTGTTTTTGTGTGCAGTTGCATATGTGTGTGCATGAGAAGGTCATAGTTCAAACCTTGGTGTTCCTCAGGTGCCATCGACCTTGTTCCTACAGAAAGAGTCTAGCATTTGCCTGGAGTTGGCCGAGTAGGCTTGTCTGCCTGGTCTGTGAACCTGAGGGTCATCTGGGATGTCTTGAGGATGGGAGTAACCCAGTTTCATTTCTGTTGTGCTATAACACCTTTACAAGCAACCATAGGGAAGAGGGTTTGGTATGTTTACACTTCCAGGATGTGGCTCATCCCAACAGAGAAGTCACGGATGCGGGACTATTGGTCACACCACATCTGCAGTCAAAAGCAAAGAGAATGAAGGTACCTGTGCTTCCTGCTTACTCTCATTAAGCTTTTTCCTGTCTTACACAATTCGAGATTCCCCACCTAGGTAATGGTGTATCCCCCAGTGGGCTGGGTCTTTCTACATCCTTTAACAGTCAAGACAACCCCTCATAGACATGTATGCAGACCAACCCAGTCTAGACAATTTCTCAAATGAAACTCTCCTGTTGGGTGGTTCTAGGTTGTGCCGAGTTGTAAGTTAAAACTAACCAGGGCAGAGAGCATGCTCTTCTCTTGAAAAGAGTAAGAAGGAAAATTGTGGAAAGAGAGGTGAGAATCTTGATCAAAGACAGAGGAACTCTATGGAAGAATCTGTGCCACAGCTGAGAATCCAGATATTGATTTCTTTTTATTCTCCACAAAGTGAGTTATATAAGCAGTTTTTGCTTCCCTGAGGTATGTGTGCTTCTGTGTGAAGCTCTGTTCTAAGGGACCTGCCAAAGGGAAGAAATGGTTTATCAGGAGCAGATGGTGGATGGGTGTGCATTTATATGTGTGTCTGTGCAACCCACAGACTGGCTGCACAAAGATTTTTCAGTCTTTGTGGCTGTGATATATTATATGTCACATACAACATACATGATATTATTATATGTGATCTATGGAGACTTTCTCGGTTGCGGTGGCCATTGTTAAGCATTTGAAGTACTTGCTTTGGTCCAGCTTCCAAATACATAAAATACCCTATCTTACACAGCAGCCACCCTCTAATTTAACATATTGCATTAATGGCTGATGCTGTGTGAATCTGGATGAGACACTATGTTTCTGATGGAATTTACTGCCGCTACAAAGAATATAACTCAAACATACTGAATTGCTATGACACCAGGATATATGCAGAGTTAGATGATCTTCACAGTCAGTGTGGGCAGAAGCTATGTGTCTTTTGATGGAAGCTTTTTGCCACTGTTGACTGTTACTGAGAAAAGGCATATTCTCAGTGATGGCATCCTGGTCCTGCCTTCAGTCCAGCCATATAAGGATGTGGTTGGATTTTCTATTATCTGATTCCACCTCTGAGGCCCTATGGGAAGGATCACAGTAAACACCGGACTCAAGGCAACCCAACTCAAAACATGCCACTGTGACAGAGAACTCAGACTCTAGAATGGGGAATAGTAGAGAGAGAGGGGCTGTGGGGGAGCAGAAATAAGTACAGTGAGAAGAAAAGATGTGGAAGAAGAAAGATGCATCAAGCCATGGTCCAGGGTAGAGTCCAGGTGGAGAGTAAGCTTGAGTTCAGAAAATAAATAAATAAACAAATGCCAAGTAGTCATAAAAAGCTGTTGTCAGAGAAAATGCTACAAGAATCTATGATCCGCTGAGAGGGTGGAAGCTGCCCCACCTCTTCCGGTAGTTTTACTCTCTGTTTCCTGTGTCCGAGTGAATGGGCCTGCCTGTGCAGACAAGGCAGACGGAAGACCCTCTCCTTCCTGAAGGGTCTAAGGCTGTTGCACTCGCACAGAAAGCTTGCTTGCCCTCTGAGAGAGATTGCGTGTCAGCACTTTAGCCATTTTCTAAGCACCTGCTCACCGCAGAGCCCTGTTATGTCTCCAAGCTTCCCCCCCCCCCCAAGATACAAACAGAAGTCCTCTCTTGCATGTGTGACCAGCAAATGCCACCATGTTGTCTTGCTCTAACCCCTTGTGATTCTCAATCCCACTTCACTTGTTTGTAAAACAAAACTTCTTGGTTTCCAGCTCCCCTGAGAGCCTTATGAGTCTCTGCTCAATGTTTTCCAAGTGCCCCAATCTTGGGAACCAGATCCAAGATCTTCCAGATTTCCACGAGTTGCATCATGGGAAATTTGTTTTCTCTGAGACAGGATGTTGGGTTGGAGCCCTGCTGTGCTCTCATCAATGTGGGCGAGTAGCCAGGGTTGGGAATCAGATGAACAAGGAGCTAAGGCTTGGACTTTTCTGCTCACAGAACGCTTATGAGGTGCATGTCTTTTTCTCCATTGGTGACACCAAATCTGTGAGTTCTGTTAAGTGCCCAGGTTTTTTTTTTTTTTTTTCTGTGAAATAACTTCCTACTTACTCAACGAGTACATGGGCTTTCCACCTGATACAACTATCAGAAGGTTCTTTCTGGTGATAAACCATTCGAATTGTGCAGGCAACTATTTTGTAT